CTTCGCAGACCAAGGATTTCCGTCAAACTCCACCCAAGGAAATCCCATGTCACTTGCGAACTCCTCTGGCAGTCTGTATACTAATGCAGCTTTATGAACCCAAAGTTTCACAGTTTCTGCGTGGAAAGCTTGACACCCTTTGCGCACGGAACGAAGTGATTGAAATGACGAAACTTACGAGGAATGCAGTCCTTCGGTCTCCAAGCTGCTGCAGGTAGTCACCCACGTCGTCCAGAAATCGTTCCCCCAGCAAGCCCCCTATAAGGCAGCGGCACGTCTTATGCATGATGACAAGTCCCGCTTTAGATGTCCTGTCCGAGCTTGTCAAGCAGGAAAGGTCAGACTCGTACTTACACTATGCTGTTCCTAGCAACCAATCAGCTTATACTTCGCAAATCCCAGCAGTCCTCCACTTTCATGCCTCCGGAAAGCTTGGAATGCATCCTCCCATGCTTGAACAGGTTTTCGTTCTCTGTAACGTCGAATCGGAGCGATGGAGTCTTGCTGAAGACATCGCTAGATCCTATAATATGTATTGGCGTGTATAATTCATCTTCATGCTTCCCCGTAGGATATAGCTCTCGAGCAACTTCAGCATTTGTATCCATAAACGTGACAAACAAGCCCCGTCCGGAAGGCATAAGACCCAGTGCCCTTCGAAACACGAGAAACAAAGAGGGTCTCCAGTCGACCTCCAAATATAATTCCTCTTCAAGTGCCTGCGCTGTGATCGTCACCCCACGAAATCTTTCCAGAGTGGCATGATTCCTTAAATTTCCCCCTTAAAGGTCATCTAGTGCCCTAAATAAAGCCAAGAGATTCCTTAAATTTCACCCTTAAAGGTGATACGCTTTCATCTAGTGCCCTAAATATAGCCAAGAACCCTAAAAACAGGGGATTTGGCTATGGCTGCTCTGTGTCTCTCGTTTGGGGGCTATGTCTCTTGTGCCAATGCAGCCATTGCCGCAAATGCCCACGCCGTGTTTTCCAGGCGATGCGAGCTCCAGCAGCTTCTCAGCGTTCTTCCCGAGAGATTGGAGCGTAGCGTCCAGAATCACCCGCAGCTGGAGGAGATTGTCGAGATTGTTCTCGATCTTGGCCGCCGACCGATCGCTCGCTTCCCGAGCGGGGACTGGTCCATCTCGCAGGAGCCGGTGACAATCGCCGACCTGGAGGACGCGATTTGCATGGTACGCGATCGATCAAAGAAGCAAGAAGTCTTGTGATTGATTGAAATAATTCTCTAGGTCGGGGATTTCGCGGATGATAACCGCGCTGGAATCGACCGGACGCTCCACCGGATTAGCGCGATTCGCAATCGCGGAGGCCGGATCGTTGGTCTCACTTGTAGAGTGGGGCGTGCCGTGACTGGAAGCGCCGAGATGGCTCGAGATCTCGTGAGCAGTGGAGCTTCTTTGCTGCTAATGGGACCTCCTGGCGTGGGCAAGACAACGGCCATCAGGTACTTGTTCTTTCTTTCTTCCTTGCATGTATGGTTTTGATTTTTCCCTCTTTCTCTTTCGTCACTAGTCAGGGAGGTGGCCCGGATGCTTGCCGACGATTACGATCGTCGAGTTGTGATTGTGGACACCTCGAATGAGATTGCTGGCGATGGAGATATCCCACACCCGGGAATCGGCCGTGCCAGAAGAATGCAAGTCACCAACGTTGGTCTCCAGCACAAGGTAAGTCTTGGGTCCTTTATTATTGTTTGTTTCTAGAGCACAAGAAGGTTTTGCATAGATAATGATCGAGGCTGTGGAGAATCATATGCCGGAGACGATCGTGATTGACGAGATCGGTACCGAGCTTGAGGCTGCAGCAGCGGTGACAATTGCCCAGCGAGGCGTGCAGCTGGTTGCTACTGCTCATGGAACCAGCGTCGAGAATCTGATAAAGAATCCTTCGCTGGAAATTCTTGTCGGTGGCATTCAGGTACTGTCAAAGTGGCATTGCATGGCTCCCATGACGCGAGGATCTTGTTTTGTTATAGAGTGTGACGCTGGGTGACGATGAAGCTCGCAGGAGGGGAGTCCAAAAGAGTGTTTTGGAAAGGAAGGGACCTCCCGCTTTTAGCACTGCGATTGAAATGGCTTCTCGAACTGAGTGGAGAATACATCACAGTTTGACGGCAACAATAGACGCTCTTCTCGCTGGTAAATATAATCTTTGTAATCTCTTTACGGTAGCTAATACGTAATACTATTATACAGGACGATCCCCTTCTATAGAAATTCGAAACATGAAGGACAAAGAAGGGACTGCTCCAGAAGAACTGCCGGTATTGAATCAAATCGAGAATGAGGACAAAGATTTTTTTAAGAAGCTCCAAGACAATGGAAGTGAGGGCAAACTCTTTTCCTTGTATCCATACCAGGTTTGTCTACACCTGAACATTACGTTTTTCGCTTAACATTATATGTTTTGTTCCAGATTTCGGAGGAGTTGCTCAAGCAGGCCATTGAGGTTCTCGAACTGGAAGAAACAATCGGTGTTGCTTCTGACATAGGTGCAGCAGACGCCGTGTTAACGCTACGGTCAAAGCTGCGAGAGAATGTATGGGTGCGAAACATTGCCAAGTTTCGACAACTTCCAGTCTTTGCAATCAAGGTGAACTCTACTAAAATGTGCATGTTTTATGTACTTCAGCTTTTATCTCATAGGCAAACACTCTAGCTCAAATGATCCGAGCAACAAGAGCTGTCCTGGAAATGGAAATGCTTAGAGGAACTTCGTCATCAACCAGGAAATCTAAAGTTGAGGATGAGATCGACGCTCTAGAGGTACGAATTCTGGAATAACTGCTGTTTACAAATAATCATGATTGCTATTTTACACAGGAAGCGAGGCTTGCAATTGAGCAAATTGTCATTGCTAAAGGCCAAGCAGTGGAGCTACTTCCAAGGTCCGCAGGAATCACAGCACTCCAGATACGTCTAGCCGAGAGCTACCAGCTCGCATCGGAAACTTCAGGCATTGAGCCCAAAGTACGGCTGAGAATCCTGCCACTTCTACAGCAAGGTTCTCGGCAATCCTCGAGCAGTAACAATACAAAGGAAGAATCATCTCAGGGCCGAGTTCAAGGTGGAACGAGCGTTTCCAAGCTTCCATTGCTACCAACTGATTTTCTGGAAGATTAAAAATGGAACTCTAAGGTACACATTACTCGTTTTAGTCGGATAAGATTTACAAAATTTTCCAGGAGGAGCTAATCCAGTTGATAACAAGCTTGTCGCCTGCGCATTGTCTCAAAGGAAAGACAACCAAACCGCAAGTACCTTTGCACTCGAACTGACAGCAATCCCAGCAGTGGAGAGGAACCGCGTCAATGATCACCTCCTTAGAATACTCGAGGGGATCCTGCACCTACACAAGGTGTGAAAGAAAAATTTCTCCACTTGCTTTTGAAAAGCTTGCCAAAAAGCCTCACTTCGTGTTTTGTTCCTGGTGCAGCTGATGACGAACAACGTCAAAACAGATAACGCAAAAATATATCAACGAGCTCGAGGGACTAGACTACCTTTCTTGAGGGGATTGTAAGTGGCCAAGATCTCGAGTTGACCGATTTTTCCTTTAATATGCAGCAAAATTAATGATTACAAACCTTTTACGTGGTTGATATAGAAATTATATTTGGTATTTTATATCAGCTGGAATCCTACACATCCAAGGAAGGCTTGTATTTGTTTCAGTCCAAGTACCTGCATCTAGATCATACCAGAATGACTTATTGAACCTAGGATACCTTCCACGTCCTTCAAAATTCAAATAGTTACCAGTATGACAACGGAAGGAGAGACATAAATCCGGTCTAGGAGGTACGGAATAAGTGCTCACATGCACTATCATCTCACCAGTTCCCACAGAAATCTCCTCAATTACAAACTTACACTTGAGTTCCACGTTGAGAGGCTTCCCCTCCAACTAGCAAGGCAGACGGCCTCACCGGCGTTGACATTGAGACGTAGATTTGTATATGCAAACTGTTGGTTGCGACATCAAACTGGATCAAGTGGGTATGGAAGGAAGCCAAAGAAGCCAACTTGTTTTCTATGACGGGCCATGGTTCACCCACTGAAGCGACTGCCGCTTGGCCACGAGTGAAGGTGTGGATATCACCATCCCACAACCACACCACGATCTTGTACTGCTGCTCCAAGAGGACGGGCCTTGGCATGTCCCAGAATTCCAAGTTGGGATTTCCTCCCACACAAAAGAATTCCCAACGTAGAGTTTTCCAGCCTGTGACGAGTTATGGCGCATAAACAGTCGGGAACGTCGTCAAGCTGAGGCACCTCCGGAACCTGGGCTCGTCCACCGCTTCTTTCCTCAAAAGTGGGAGTCTGCCAAGGATTTGTCCCACAAGCTCGGGCATCAAGCTATGCCACCTTCTTCCAAATAGCTTTGTTTTGCTTGGCACTTTAAGAAACACTTACAAAACTTTTATTTTCTTAAAAAAACCTGTAAATATTGGTTTAAAATTGACGAAGAAAGGAAAAGAAAGCTTCTTGTCAATAAGAGTGCAAAGATTTTCATCATGGAGTATAGAGCTTAAACTTCAAGATTACATGGAGCACGGAGCAGAGGCATCCAAGATCAATATGGACAGCAACGGTGGGAGCATTGCAACTACAACTGCAAAAACAGCATTTCTAAATCTTTTTCAGGTCCACCTTGGTGAGTTCGGCTAGGCTTGGCTTTGGCTTGTGGCTCTGTTGTTTTTGCTACCTGCAACATCACACTCCTTACTCAGGTCATGGTGAAAACTCTATCAAAGTCAGGATCTACTGTTTACCCCCCACCGCCCACCATGAAGCATGAGACCATATGAATAAATGAATAGTGGATCAAGCAAAGTGACAGGAAGACCTTAAAGCATAGTCCTTGAAGTGCACGTGTGCAAAGGATGATCCTCATAGCTATGCAATAAGACTATAATTAGCAAAAAAGTATTGATCCATGTTGTGGAGCTGGGATCTCATGATTAAGCAAGCCATTTGAATTTCCATTTTTTAAAGTCTTTTTACTTTTTATTGTTAAGCACAACTTGTATCGTCCTCCAAATAATTTTTTCCCTTGAGAAGATTGGTCAACCAAGGAAGCTGAAACAAAAGCTTTTTTCACGCATGCGAGAAGGATGGATCCGGCTGGCTGTTTATAGCAGTGGCCTTCTTCGCGTTGTGCTTGGCGCGCAAGGCTCGGAGGTGTGGAACTACGTCCTCGCTGAGCTTGATCATCACGAAAAAAAGGAGCCTGTATCCCACGACCATGGCTACCAGCACGCCCAGGTTGTCCCACTTTGTCCGGCTCATATCCACGTCGTTGTTGATGAGGATGTCTCGGCCATTGATCTTGGGGAGGAACGGGTACTTGCTATCGAATTGGATGCCAAGGAAATCGTTCTGATACATTCCCTGGAAGAACGAGTAGAAACTTTAGAAACCGGGCCTGGAAAATGGAAAGAACTCCTCACCTGAAGAACGTAGCTGTGGAAACTTAAGTAGGAGATTGGGTATCGCCACACAGGCTTAGGCAAATCGCTTAGTAGACGGAAGAAGCCTCCAGTTAGCATGAGAACGGCCTGGAAGGACAAAAGCGCATAAAGGATGAGCAGGGACAAAAGTTTGATGTGATTTTTCTGACCTGGACTGCTGCTCCCACAATGATCCCCATGAGGTAATTTGGAACTACACTCGCGACGGCCATCATCAGCCCCTCCACTAGCGTCACACACGTCGCTAAGCCCAGAACAAAATAGAGGAAGTGAGTGACGCCCGGATGGAGTTGAACGAGGTAGTAAGTGATGGCGCCGGAAGTTAGCGACATGAGGAGCAGGAACGGGATAGAAGACAGGGTGTTTCCAACAACGAAAGCGACGACTCCATAGTGGCCATTCAATCTTTCTCGATGGAACACCTGGAACAACCAAAAAGTATGAGGCCTTCTGGGAGTGCTTAAGCTTCACAGACCTTCATGTCTTCTACGAAAGATGGAAAGCCTCCGATTGCCATGAACGTCAAGAATCCCCACAGGTAGCCCATGCAGGAGCCTCTAGCCTGGAAAAGTTGTTCCATCCCCGTTAGAAAAAGGAAACAAACTGTGTGTTTTTTACTCACGAATATAGAGTCGTAGCTTGTTCCAACCCGGTAGAAGATGGTTCCAACGCAGATCGCCAGTAGTATGTAGACAAGAACTCGGAGCCAATAATATCCCATGTCCCTGGACATGTTGGTGAAAGACCTTCGTGTGAGAGTAGCACACTGCATCCAGAAACTCGCTTGGCTTCCACTGGACTCCAGAAAATCTCCTTTCTATCAATCGATAGAAAACAAAATAAAACTGTTAGTCGAGTAAACCAGGGAATAAGTGAGCCACTCACTTACCACTAAGGTCATTATTTCCACCCGTTCCATCACAGACTGGGCTTGCTCGGAGGATTCGTAGGCTGTGAGAAGAGCGGAGATCACTTCGGCTGTGGTGGTTGTTTCAAACACATCGGCAGATTCCTCATCCTGGAACGGGAAAAAGGCAAAGTTAACAACTCACGAGTGGGTAATATTTTGAAAGGATTTGGTTGAGAATGTGACATGGAGGCATGCTTACCTCGTGTGGGAGGCAGGACTCCTTCAACGATTCGTTTACTCTGTCGAAATCCGCGTTGATGGCTTTAAGAAAATGGTCCGAAGGATTGCGCATCGGGGGGCAAGGAAATCCAACACTCGCAAAGTGCTGCACGAAGCACCAATTCAAAAAGAAAACTAAAAAGATGAGAAAGACTACTGGCGCATACGTACTTGCTGTGCATTGACAGCCGGACCAAAGTAGACAGTTCTTCCGTTTGATAACAAAAGAAGATTGTCAAAGAGCTGGAAAACTTCGCTGCTGGGCTGATGTACGGAACAAATCACGGTCCTCTTGTCCCTAGCAAGCCTTCGAAGGGTCCTTGTTACGAAGAAAGCTGAAGCACTGTCCAGGCCACTGGTCGGCTCGTCTAGAAAGAGTAGCCTCGGACGAGTGAGTATTTCCACTGCTATACTCAGCCTCCTCTTCTCGCCACCACTCAGTCCTCTTAAATGCCAGTTTCCAACCGGTGTGTTCGCACAGTCTTGTAGTCCCATCTCTATTATCACCCTCTCAACAATTGCTTGCTTCTCCGAATTTGGCATTGCGTCTGGAAGGCGGAGCCTGGATGTGTAGAAGATTGTCTCTCGCACGGTGAGTGTAGAAATGAGCGTGTCATCTTGAGTAACGTATGCCTGTTTGTCAGCAGAAATCTAGCACATTGAAGAGAAAACTTTAGAAACAATAAAAAACTCACAGCAATCCCGTATGACAGCTTCCTTTTGTGCCCGTTGAGAAGAATGTCTCCAGTTTGAATAGCGTTCTTGGCCAGTCGTCCTGAGAAAGAACGAAAAAAGAGCTTTTTTGTGAGACACACAGACCGAATTCAAAACAAGTTTCCACTCACCAGCTAAAGCATCCAGCAGAGTTGATTTGCCGCATCCGGAAGGACCCATGACTACGGTCAGCGATCCGGGCTCCGCAAAGCCTGTGAGACTATCCAGAACAGTGCGGCAAGCTCCCTTGTCCGTCAACACGTTGACGCTTAAATCCGTCCATGTAAGTTTTGCAACGAAGTCTTGGACATTGGACTGCTTTGTGAGCGCCCTCCACACTGTTCTCGTAAGGGGGCTAGCACCAACACCATTGCTGTTGGCGGTTGACGCCCTTCCAATTCCATCACCAGCAGCAGGAACGGTACTAAACTTGCTCGCGAAAATCACCCCGTCGGAACCAGCTCGCTCCATTTCTCGGTTCCCCTTGACAAGACTGACCCTGAAGTCGAAGTTCTCTCACTGCTGATTTCTGTTGCTGGAGATTACCATCCCGCCTTCTTCTTCCTCGAATAGCCGGGAACTTAAAAGAGTCCCTTCTCTTCAGAGAGGCGGCTTCTTCTTCTTCCACGAGACAAGATCTTCTTGATACCGATCACTTCACGAGCAGCATAGAGCTTTTCAAAAAGTCCCTGTCAAAACTTTGCTTCACAAGATCGGATATCTTCTTCTCTGCTCGTCGTGCCCCCAAGCCAGCTCGATAGAAGGAGCATATTTATACCATCTCTGGAAGGAGAGAGATGACAAAACACCCCCGGCTAAGTCTTTGTCTTATGCTCCTCTCAGTCACCAACCTTGGCTGATCATGCACTACCCATGCTGCACCTTGCTGTTGACCGGAGCAAAAACTTAAGTCACAGTCTCCTCGTAGTCACATTATACTTGTAGCAGCAGCAAGTGACCAAGAGCTGGACTCGGTCCCGTCGTCGTTCGTGACCGCTGAAGATTAAGATGAGAGAAAGAAAGAGATGGTCTTCTTATCTTTCCCAAAGTTTCCCAGAAGAAGAGCCTAGTTTGCTGGTGCTGGTATTAAATGCTGGGTCAACTTTAGACTATTTAAAGACCGCAGCCACCGAGGTAGAACGAGCGAGTAGAAGTAGAGCATATAGTAGTAGTAAACCTGTTTTATTGTGGAATCAAACTCTCAGTAAGTCAAGGATTTAAAGAAAAAACCAACAGCAGGTATCAAATGAGCAGCTGGTATACCTTCGCAATTATAATACAAGTCACGCTCGGAGCGGCAGGAGCGAGCGGCCGCGCGAGCAGAGACTCTGTACAAAGAAAGGAGCGCCATTTGCCGCTCTTTTCCTCCCTGCCTGGCCTCAAGAGGTGGACGAGTTACTAGCGGCAGCACCGTCCTCGGCGTAAATGGAAACGATGGAGTCTGTGGAAGCACCAGCAGCTAGGAGAACGCTGTACGGGTGAAACGACAAGCAGCTCACGGGGCCGATACTCTTCCCAAAGATGCTCTGGTGGTAGCGTATCATGCTAAGTTGGTCGCCACTGGTCGCGCTGAAAACTTTGATGGACTGCTTGGAGGAGCCGCTGGCAAGGACTGGCGCGTAGCGGTGCGCTGCCAGCGACGTTAAGTGCCCCTTGTGAGCCTCGACACTCACGACCGGGAGGTCCAGCTTGCGGACGTCGTATATTTTTATGTCCCCGGCTTGAGATGCAGAGACCACCTGCAAAGGATATCCGTGTCACGGATTCTTGAGGAGTGTGAGCGACAGATTATCCAGACCTCGGTTGTGTCTATTCCTGACTGGACAAAATCTATGCCCGCGACTCTCTGGAAATGCGCCTTCTGGGAGAACACTTGCCTGTCAAGACACAGTTAACTCACAATCGGAATAATCCAAAAACAGCTTACTTGTCTTGCTTCCGAACATCAAACATCATGAAAGACCCGTTTCCACAACCCGCCAGAAAAAGGCCATTATGGATCAGCGAGGCAGCCTAGAACACGAACTTCTTAAAAACTAAGCGAATAAGTTAGCAACACGGTCTTACCATCGCAGAAACACTTGTATCGGGTTGAGAAGGCAGCCTTAACACGAGTGTTTCGGCATCAACGTCCCATATCATGATCGACGAAATATCTCCAGACGCGTACTGCAAGGACCATCGTAATGTCTATTTAAAGGACGCAGTGCATACCAGATATCCAGTCGATTGCTGCCATTCCACAACTGCGTTAATTCCTCGAGCGCCAGGCCTGTGACCCTGTATGGCCTGCCAAGCAGTTGCAAGCTGCTGTTCACCTTTCACAAGGTAATCTCTCCACACTCGAACGCTTCCGTCGCCTGAGAATTGCACACTTCAGTTCGAGAAAAAATCACGGTGATTTCATCCTACTTGATGCTGCGAGTAGCAAGCTCTCATCAAGCTCGTTGATTAAGCAAAGCCGAGAAAAACCCTTACTATGCGACTCGTGATTGTGAAAGTCGTTTAGTAAAGATCCATCTTCGTGACTCCAAATTCTGCTTTCATAACATAAATGCCAGTTCAGAATTCCAACCAATGCTCACCTGATAGTTTCATTGTCATCTGCGGTACAAGCAAGCGGAAGAAATGGATGGAGGAGAACAGCCTTGGTACCGTACTCAGAATTCATATCCCATGTTGCCATTTGGTACGTCACTACGTTGACAGCTGCAGAAACCATATACCAAATTAAAACTGATGAAATCTGTTTCAAACTCACTCGAATGTCGGCATTTGGATGCTCCTTCTAAAGCAGTCCTTTCCCTTGCTTCTCTGGCAATTAATGCCGTTTCCTCCTCGTCGTGGGAAGTCTCGAGTAAAGGCCGAGCAAAATGCCCGCAGCTCCACCTGTATAAAACAGACTCTGGAAGTTCTTTGAAATCGTCCGAAGCGGGAACTTGAGATGAACCAAGTCCGGAATCACTTTCCGAAGGAAACTCGAGAGAAGGTACGCGTCTCATGTTCATTGGACTTCCCGAAAGCAAATTAGACGGAGGACTAGCAGAACTGGAAGCACCTCTGAATGGCATTGTTAAACTTCCTGCAAAATCGGCGAAGACTCAGTAAAAAGTAACAACATGTGACCCTGCTCACCTATATTGCTGTCAAACCAGGAAGAAGAACGTGGAAAAGCACTGGTGGCTTGTTTGGCTCCGGACTTGAGAGTTTTGCCTGTCTGCATGACGTACGCTTCGACACCTATTCTCCTCAAAACTTCGTGGCCGAGTTTAGCAACCCACGGGCAAGGATCCCTTACCAGGGAATAAGCAGCTGCCACGCACCGAACGTAAACGCCACTCTCTTCCATTTGCAGTCTTCTTGGCCGCATCAACCCATTGATAAGTTCATTCTCGACGAAGTTGAAACCTTCCGGTGAAGCAGGAGCCGAAGCGGTACCACGAGCATTTCCAGAGAAGAAAAACTGACCGGAAATATTTACACTGCTCGTCGGAGTTCTGTTGGAATTCAATCCTGCCAAAGCCATGATTCCGGGGTTCGACGGAGGCTTTAAGTACGCTGCGGCAGCAAATCGCAGATTCTGGTCATGTCTGACAGTTAATCTGGCCAACGCTGAAATACAAATTGCAACGTTAGTGAGGATACAAATTGCAATGTTAGTGAGGAAAAGAGATAGAAAAATCCTTACCAATGGCAAGTTCAGCCCGAACGAGAGGACTCCCGTCGTTTACTACTTTCAACAATGTCTTCATAACATCCTGTTCCATTCTAAGCCTAGCCTCTTCGTCGTCGTCATCAAGGGCCGAATCCTCTTCGTTAACGCTCTTAGCCTTTATTATCGTTCCCAGAGCATAAGCTGCTGCGGCACGAACCTGTGAAAATTATAAAGTCAGACAAAGTCAGCTTTTCCAATGTATACCTCTGGTTGAGGCTCGGACAGGAGTTGTGCTAGCGTGGAAGACGCATTTGTGTGAAGAGCTAGCAGCTGTGCTTTGGCGAAACCATCCCAGATCTTACCAACACACAGGCACAACCACTGCATGAGCAACGGTTCTCCACGTGCAGGAACGATATGTCTCAAGCAAATGTCGATCAATCCAGATTGAAAGCATTCAATTTGGCCCCGAGGAAGTCCATCGATAATAACTGATAAAACGAAAGCTGCCATTGCCTGTTGTTCAGCGTACACGTCTGGACTGTCCAGGAATCTGATAAAATATTTGTGCCCACCATCTTTAACCAGATCAACTTGACAGGACTGCAAAACAGTTCAAGAAGCAGGATGCAATCTACTGCTCAGTAATGCCATTACCTTGTCATGGGCAAGAATTTTGGCCCAAATAAATAGTAAAATTTGCCGAAGTTCAGTGGCGGTTGTCAGAAGCAGCTTAAGCACGTAAGGGAAAATGCCAACCGAAAGAGCCTGAAAACGAAAATAAAATCAATCAAGGGATTTATACACAAACAAAAGAAATTAAACATATACATACCAGGTTCACAGCCCATGCCCCCATATCCAAGAACCTTCCTAAAAGTACCAAAGCCCGAAAACGATGAGATTGACTTAAAAGAACCTGTTGAAAACACAAAAAAGGCTTAGGATAAGCAACGTGGACAATTGCCTGAAGAACTATTGGAAGCTGCTCTGGTGGTCTTTTACTCGCTGATCCGTGCTCAAGCCATACTTCGAACGCTGTCAACTGATCCGTAAAAAATGGACTCGGCTGCGCAGGACACGTTTTCAGCTTTTTTCACAAGGATAATGCTCAATACCTGAAATTCAGCATTTGGATCTTTGACTAAAGAGGGAAGTTGCGAAAGACAGGTTTCCGCAGCCATATCCCATGCAAACCTTGTTAAGAAACGTCAGCGTTCAAGTCCACATAAGATTCAGTATGCTTGCTTACCACATTGAGTGCTGATGTGTCAAAGGCAAGCATGGGTAACAAGCAGGAGAGCAGTTCACGGATCGCATAATCCGTTCTGCCAGTAAAAAGTTTCGGAAGAGGGTAGCCACCAAAAGGTCCTGTCGAAACAATCGTTGAAACAGGTCTGCATACATTCTAAATCAGTACACACAACAAAACATATAGAGTGAGATTTGCACCTGGAGGAAGCACATTCCATGCTATGGTATCGGTGATTGCCGTAAAGATCCAATTTAGTTCTCCAAGGAGGGTCTTCCGATCGTTCTGACTTCCAGGGATCTTGTCAATCAGCTCAGGGTCGAACTCAAGTAAAGACCGCGAACAAAACCTGCATGGAAGACGTATAAGCAATCCAACTGAAATCATAGGCAATACCATCTCAACGCCATTTTGATTGGAGTCGTTAAACATGCTGTGAACACGTCGGCAGGCATTCCCGAACTCTGCGGAAGCATTTCAGTTGCTCTACAGGCTGCAAGCAATATGCAGTCTTTTGCCGAAACTGATGAACTCCCAAGTGCCCAATCGGGTCTCTATACATACAGAAATGTCACGGAAAAACAAATCAGTCAAGACAAACCTTTCTACCTCGATAAATGCATTGACAACGACACCAGCGCCCGAGCAATCAAGAACGTAGATAGACGGTACGCCAAGCCAAGACTCCAGCTCATAAACCGAGAGCGGTATATATTGCGTATAGCTCTGTGACAGAAGAGCTTCATCCATCAACCAGCCAGGAGCAACAGCTACGTCACGCCTACCTTGTTGAAAAACCAGAGCTCGCCATTGACAGTGGGTTTAGGCACACCATGCCCGTTGTAGTGAAACAAGACCCTGTCCGACTTCGCATTTTTCCGGCACTGTGAGCACAGCTTCTTCACCTCGTCAGCTGTAGGATCCAGCGCTAGCTTGTAGCGGGCCTGCATGGAAGTATTGGAACTTAACCCTTCAATGCAAAACATGCATAGCCATACCCTCGGCTGCCAGAGCGCATACTGCGATTGCAGATTTTTGCCAATTGTATCAAGAGCCTTCTGAGGCGCCAGAGATGACGGATCTATCAACAGAAACAGCCATCAAACACAAGGAACAGCAAAAACATCAAAGTAAAAGAAGAAAGAAATACCTATCCAGCACTCCATCCTTGCGCATGGTGATACCTTGATTATATCAGGTGGATCCACTCCGATATTCAGACATACGACCAGTGCTACAGATACAGTCTTCATCTGAAACGCAAGAGACGGAAAGGATACAAACCGATTAAGCTTTTTTCTTAACCGAAGCAGCGTACCCGGTCTTTCATCCTCCATTTTGACAAGAGCCCGGTGTCGGGAGGGCCGAAAGAGATCAAAGCTTGAAGCGAGTGATGGCGAAGATCCGCGAGATAAGTACAGTGCTGGGCGAAGACACCGCAAGCTTCGTCGCCATGCTGGTCTTCTTCACCTGGGGGCGACGGCCCCGCATTTTGGCCCGGTTCTGTATCATCGGGAGTAGCGATCTCCATCATCGGACATTCTCCTCCAGCACTGATCCCATCCAACAAATTCGTTTCCTTCCCCTTCTCTGTACAAGCGCCACGCGCGTCGGAATCTCTTCCCTGTTCTAAGTCACGGACGACGATACGACTCCTATCCCAAGGGTTGAGCATAGCATGGTGAAGTAGCGATGCGAGAAGATTGCCGAGAGTATCGCAGCGACGGCCAGGGACGAGGAAGAGGAGGAGGGCAGCGCCGCCCACACGCTCCCATCTGAAACCATTGGCAGCATTATCGCACAAGCTGGGGAGCGCTTGTCTGCAAAACCTGGCCGATGCCGCTGCTGCCATTGCCAATCTCCGCGACACACAGCGCCATCGCCATCGCCATCGCCATCATCGTCGGCGCGCTCTCTCTTTTTTCCCCCCTATCTCGCTCTCTCCGCTTTCTTCTCCTCAACCCTAAACCCGACACGGGGTTTTTAGCTCTGTTTGCTCAGTTGCCATAAACCCTAAATTTCTTCCTCCTCTTCCGCGCGATCGATTCATGAGGCGCTGGCTCGCTTCGCCCTACTGCCGTGGCCACAGCAGGAGCATCTCGACATGCCGGGCGGTCGTGCTGCCGCGATTCGGCGGCCCCGAGGTCTTGGAGCTGCGCAAGGATGTGCCCGTGCCGCATTTGGAGGCCGAGGAAGTGCTTGTCCGCACGGTCGCCGCCGGCGTGAATCCTCTGGATATCAAGGTAAGAAACGATCGAGCGTGTAGCAATCTCCACCAGAAATTTATCTAACTACTGTTTGTTTGTCACAGATGAGAGAAGGATACGGGAGGTCTCTTTTCCAGCCTCTTCTTCCAATCGTTCTGGGAAGAGATGTGAGTGGAGAGATTGTGGCCATCGGCAATGGAGTGAAGCGGCTCCACGTAGGCCAGCATGTCTTTGGAGCGCTTCATCCGACTGCTGTGCGAGGTACTTACAGTGACTACGCGATACTCCAAGAGGAACAGCTTGCCCTCAAGCCAAAGTCACTCACTCATGTGGTATGTGATGTTTTTTTTTTTTTTTTTTTTTCCTTTTGCTGGTTTCTTGCTGTTTCTTCGCGAAGTTTGGTTCCATGCTTCGCTGTTCCGTTTTCTAGCTGTTTCTTCGTGTTAGCGTTGTTTTTCTCCTTGCTTTGTTGACTTTGCACTTGTTTGCTTTGTCGACTAAACGCTGCTGTGTCTATGTGCCAGGAAGCAGCTGCCATTCCCTTTGCCGCACTGACTGCGTGGCGAGCACTGTGGAGCACTGCCAGAATGAAGAGCGGGTAAACGTTCTGCGTGTAGCATGAATGAGAGAGCAGAGGTTTTATCATTTCGTTGTGATATGGCTGTTGCAGTTGCAATCTTAGACTTTGGGGTGCAGGCAGAAGGTGCTGATCATGGGCGGGGGAGGCGCGGTCGGCTTAGCAGCCATTCAGCTCGCTCGAGCTGCTGGCTGCTCGGTGGCTGCCACTTGTGGCAAACGAAGTTGTAGTCGCGTCGGGGAAGCTGGCGCCGAGCTTATCGTGGACTACACTTCCGAGGTATAATCCACCTTTACTACAAAGCTTTCGAATAACGTCTACGCTTCCAGAACACAAGAGAGCAACTTACCTGGCGATTCGATGCTGTACTTGACACAATCGGTGTGGAGACCACAGAAGCACTTGGAGTTAACGTGCTGAAGCGTGGTGGTCACTACATGACGCTGCAGGTGAATCTCTTTTTAGATTATAGCCTCCTCGTGCTCAAACGAAGCACTCGTCGCAGGGAGAAGCGGTGAAACTGGCAGACAAATACGGCCTCATTGTTGGAGGCGGCATTGCGACAGCGACGCTCTTGCGGAAGCGAATGCAGTACACTCAGTCGCATGGCATTGGTAAAGCTTGATCTCTCCTCAGCATACGTTTTAACATTCGAGCCTGCGCAGACTACTCTTGGATAATCATGAGGACGGATGCCGAAGGCCTGGAACAAATAGCTCGGCTTGCGAAAGAAGGACGCCTCAAGATCCCAGTCGGAGAAACTTTCAGTTTGGATGAAGCCGCGAAAGCTCAAACGGCGAGAGAAAACAAGGATTCACAGGGCAAAGTGGTGCTCCAAGTCCAGCAGGAGTAAGCAAAGGATTTTTCCAAATAATGCACTTACACAAGGTAAATTGTTTTGTTCTCTACCTTGTCAGAGCTCTAAAATCTCTTCATGTGTTTTTTTTCTTGATCAGAGTAGTCGACTCCGACGCTCAGCCCCAGCAGTTTGTACATTTTGTCCAGAGTTTACGTATAGAGAGCTCTCGTCGTCCAGGTTCTTTGCAAATAAATCCATCTTCCAGAAATCGCCAACGCTTCCTTTCAGTTAAAAGTCAAGCTGTTTCTCTAGAGATTCTCTTCTGGAGAAGTTAAAAGTGGCTTTTTCCAGGACTTTGTCAAGCTGTTTCTCGAGAGATTCTCCTCCAGAGTTCCTGGAAGAGTTAATAGTGGAGTTTTCCAGGACTTTGTCGAGCTGTTTCTCGAGAGATTCTCCTCCAGAGTTACGTTTGTCTCCTCCAGAGTCCCGGGAAAAACGTTTGTCTCCTCCAGAGTTTCTGGAGAAAGATTGTCAGCTTGCTCGATCGATCCTCCTCCCTCACCTCCGGCCAATGGAAACTCAAAGCTAGTCTCATTCTCTTTGTCGCCACTGCCATCCCTGGAGGAGCTCCTGTCCAGGGTGGAGGAGCTCAGCCAGCGGACGGACGCCATGGCAGGCCTCAAAGTCAAACAATCGTTCCCATCGATCGTGGTGAGAATGGCCGTTGGCCTGGTCTTGCGCCGATCTCTGAAACGCCCCACTGCCAGGCCCATCACGGGGCTCCCGTAAACCACTTCGCTGGAAGAAATCGATCGGCTAGACGAAGCGGTAGAATCCCTGCTCGCAGCCCCCAATTTCATCCTCCTCCGCTTGGATCCAGTCTCTGGCAGCGGCATTTCGGGCGATGTCGATTGCTGGAGGGGCGGCGTGACGGGATTTGGCTGTGCGTCATTTGCAGCGGCCACGAATTTCTTACCCGGAGTGATTGCGCGCCTGGCGCCGCACGACGCCGTTGGGGCCCTCCTCTTCATAGCCAAAATATAATTTTTTCAAAGCCCTAGATCCCAGATTTTAGGGTTCTTCCAAGAGGTCGTCTGACGCGATGGAGAACGACGAGGAGAAGCTGGATTTCCAGGATGAGAAGGAGCCGCGCGATCACTTCAAGCTTGCCTACATCAGCTTCTTCATCCTTGGCGCCGGATTCCTCCTCCCGTGGAACGCCTTCATCACAGCGGTGGATTATTTCGATTTCCTTTACCCTGGCACGCACATCGATCGGGTATTCTCGATCTTCTACATGTTCCCGGCCCTCCTGCTGCTGCTCTACCTCACATTCAAGGCCGGCGCCATCGAGCCGCGGATCCGGATCAATCTGGGCCTTGTCCTTTTCCTCCTCATGATGCTCATCGTTCCAATCATGGACGAGAGCGTGAGCAAGCCGTCCAGCGCCACGCATTACATCACAATCGCTGCTACTGGAGTCACGGGGCTCGCCGATGCCCTCGTCCAGGGCAGCCTTGTGGGATCGGCGGGGGAGCTACCGGAGCGCTACATGCAAGCGCTCGTTGCCGGCACTGCTGCGTCGGGTAAGTCTGCCATAGTGTTCGCTAGATCGTTGTCACTCTACTGTTTGAGATTTGCGTCTAGTCCTTTCTTTCTTCTATCTATTCTTCTATGCATTCTTGTTTTGCTCTTTTGTTTCATCACTATTCTTCTGTCTGAGATTTGTGTCTTTCTTCTTCCTTTACTTCGATCTATGCTTCTATTCATTCTCCTTGTGTGACTGTGTTTTACGATTTCTTCTTTGCAACTTGCTTCACACTCTCACAAGTTATCGCAAACAGGTGTTCTAGTTTCGTTCCTGCGAGTCGTGACCAAGGCCGCATTGCCTTCCACACCCGACGGCCTTCGCAGCAGTGCGAACGTCTACTTCATCACTACCGTCATCTTCATGGTGATCTGCCTCGTCTCCTACAACCTTGTCACCACTCTTCCCGTCATCCGCTACCACCTCAAGAAGAACTCCACCAAAGTAGCACGGCAAGAGGAAGACTCGGACTCACTTCTCCTAGCCGATTCCACACCTCATCGACGAGTGAGCTTCCATCGGGTTTGGAGCCAGAACAAAGGACTGCTGCTGTCTCTCGCTCTCGTCTACCTCATCACACTCTCGATCTTTCCCGGCTCCCTCACCGAGGACGTCCACTCGGCGGCTCTGGGCGACTGGTTCCCGGTTCTCATCATCGCTTGCTACAACGTTTGCGACCTCCTCGGGAAGTCGATCACGGCGGTCTACCTCATCGACGACCCGAAAGCCATCGTTGGTGGCTGCATCGCGAGGCTGATCTTCTTCCCAGTGTTTTTCGTCTGTCTCCATGGACCCAGGATACTTGGCACCGAGGTTCCGGTGTTCTTGGTGTCAGCGCTGCTGGGGATCACAAATGGATACTACACGAGCGCGATCATGATCAAGGCACCAAAGCTCGTGCCCGTGGAGGAGTCCGAGACGACTGGGATCTTACTGGTTGTGTTCCTCGTGGCCGGACTCTCCCTTGGCTCTATAGTAGGATGGGTTTGGGTGCTATGATTTGTATGTACATTATTTCTCAATACAATGCACAACGTTGATTCTCCAAATATAATTTCCAGTGATCAAAGATGAATAAGGAGAACAATAGGAATGCGGTGAGCGTGGATCGAACACGCGGCCTTCAGATCTTCAGTCTGACGCTCTCCCAACTGAGCTATCCCCGCTTATAATTACTTCATTACGTTGGTAGTTAATGAATTTTCAATTGACTAAGATTCAACCTTTGGCGTGAGCTAGTCTTGTTTGACAATGTCCTCGAGCGCATCACTCAAGGACGCTACGGTGTCATCAACTTGCTCCGGCTCGTTGATCCAATGGCCGTCTTGATCCGCGCCCTCCTACTCCTTCCCCGCAACGCTCATCCACATCCCGGTCAGGATGTCACGGGCCTGCTTTCCCAGAACCAACTCGATCCCCATCCTGGTCAGCAGATCACGGGCCTGCTTTCCCAGATCCAACTCGATCAGGTTGTCATCCGTACCGTGGCCCAAGAACACCGGCGTGGCCCGCAAACTCGTAAACGAATCGCCCAAATCCTCAACCTCTAGACCGAGCTCGCCTCGCAAGAACTCGGACACGCGCTTGATTGCGATCGGCCTCGGGTCCGCGTCCTCCCCTTGATCATGATCGGCCAGAACCTCTTCAATCTTGTCAGCGAAGGGAAGCCATCCACTGGCGCCCACAAACGCTCCCAGCCTGTGTCGCCCACAGACTAGCGCGTGCAAGGCCGTTGCTTGCCCCTGACTGATCCCGCCCAGCACCACCTTGCTCGCGCTCCCGACGCGATCGATCTCCTCCTCGATCACGCGCAGCAGGAAGTCGACCGACTGGCGCAGGCCCTCGACCTGGAGGTGCTGCTTATAGCCTATATCGCACAGCGATGGCGCGTCAAACCACGAAGACGCTCGACCAGCGGGGGCGCGCGCTCGGGAACACCCAGCGCACGCCCGGGAAGCGCTGGAAGAGGTTGGCGCTGCCCGAGCCCAGCGTCTCCTCCAGCTCCTCGGCGAGCTCGCTGCCACTGCTTCCACGCCCGTGGAGAAGGATGACCGTGTGCCTGTGCTCGGCGGTAGCGTCGCGAACGAATGGCGCCGGATAGCTCATGTCCGAAGCCCTAATTATCCTTTGGTCAACGCACATCCATTTAAGCTTAACAGAAAAGGTCTTAAAGCATATTCAGGAATATTTACTAACGGAATTCTCGTTCAAATGGCTTGAATATTCGGTCACTGCCAGTATTGCCTCCGTGCCTTGAGCTCGTCCAAAGCGCCTGGAACCAGCCGGATGAATCCTCGTTTAGCGAGGGTGTGGAGCGCCTCCTCAATCTAAGCCTGGCAATTCCACGTCTCGCTCTCGTTATCCACAGGCTCTCCTTGGATGGTCGCCACAGCCATCTCGTGATGGATTGCATCGATCTCCCCGCACTCCAGAGCCTCCAGAAGCCTCGCCGATCGATCCGGTCGCTTGTAGACGGGCTGAGCAACGTAGTAGCCTCGGTTGCCACAATCGTCTTCAATCTGAAGGATCGTGGGATTCCCTTGGGCATCTTGGAGCCAGATTGCCCAGTGGTCGCGCTCGTCGAGTGTGGTGTATATGGCAACGAAGACCCGAGTTACCTCGTGATCGGCCTGGTACACAGTGCGAAACTATCAGGGCTGCTAGAAAGAAATCATACCATACTAGCGTTGTGATCATCGAGAGTTTACCTGGTGGTGGGCAGCCGCTTTCGATCCTGCAACAAAGGTGCGGTCACAATGAGCGCCAGAGACACCGAAAGAGACCGCATTTTCGTCGAGCCGCATAGCGCTTGGCTGCTTCTCCTCCGGATCCACGGCGGCATCGTCGTGTGCATTGGGCGGAGGTCCCTGCTCCTCGGAAGGAGCTTTCTTCTCCCGCGGCCAGCAGCAGCACCATGGAGTCATGGTTTCCCTGCGGCAAAGGAAGACTAGAACTTGCCATCGCTTGCAAAAGCACAGTTCTTTCACCTCGAAAAACTAAAGAGCCGAGCTCGCGATCACCCGCATTCGATCGAAATATCCTCGCCCTGTCACGGTATCGCGCACGGTCTCGCCCCAGCGTTGCCCTAGCCTCTACACAGAGCTTTGGACAATGCAAGAGCTACTATAAATCTTCGCAACAACGAAGGAAGGAAGAAAGCCTGACAGCCGTCCACGTGTAGCCAAATTTGATCGTCGATAGTTAGGGCAAAGTCACGGGGCTTCTTCGGCAAGCGAGGGCAAGGCGATCGCGATGGAATGTAAGCAGGGGCAGCAATGAGATTGATCGGACTTTTATTGTGGCAGAAGATTGGCGGGGTAGCATAATCGAAGTAATCCGCTACGCCATCCAGTAAGTGTTTTCTAGTTTCTATTTTCTTGCATTTCTGGGGATGCCACATTCGTGTTTTCATTATCATATCCATTGACATAGATCTATCTGTCCATAGTACATGCATTTTTAACTTCCATATGTTTTCCATATGTCTTCTATGCTCCAAGAGGAACAGCTTGTCCTCAACTCACTCATGTGGTATGTGCCTTTTTTCTTTCTTTCCTTTGTTCGTTTCTCTGCGTTCCAAGTATCTCGTGTTTCGTTGTTCCGTTTTCTTCTTGCTGTTTCTTTCTCGTTCTTTCCAACTTCTTCTTGCTTGTTTCACTTTGCACTTGTTTGTCTCGTCAAAACTAAGCACTGCTGTGTCTTTGTTCCAGGAAGCAGCTGCCATTCCCTTTGCCGCAGCACTGCCAGAATGAAGAGCGAGTAAACGTTCTGCGTGTACCATGAATGAGAGAGCAGAGGTTTTTTGTCTGTGATATGGTTGTTGCAGTCGCAATCTTAGACTTTGGATGCAGGCAGAAGGTGCTGATAATGGGCTGGGAGGGGCGGTGGGCTTTAGCGGTCATTCAGCTCGCTCTAGCTACTGGCTGCTCGGTTGCTGCCACTTGTGGCAAACGAAGTTGCAGTCCCGCCGAGGAATCTGGCGCTGAGGAACTACAAGCTATGGACGTGTCCTCGGACTTTCCGAGGTACCATCCACCGTTAGTACAAACCTTTCGAAAAACTTCTACGTTCCAGAACACAACTTACCTGGTGATTCGATGCTGTGCTTGACACAATTGGTGTGCAGGCCACGGAAGCACTTGGAGTAAAGCTCTTGAAGCACTAGATGACGCTACAGGTAAACGCTTACACTCTCTCCTTAGATAATGTCTTGTGCTCAAACGAAGCACTCGTCGCAGGGAGAAGCGGTGAAACTGGCAGACAAATACGGCCTCATTGTTGGAGGCGGCATTGCGACAGCGACGCTCTTGCGGAAGCGAATGCAGTACACTCAGTCGCATGGCATTGGTAAAGCTTGATCTCTCCTCAGCATACGTTTTAACATTGGAGCCTGCGCAGACTACTCTTGGTTAATCATGAGGACGGATGCCGAAGGCCTGGAACAAATAGCTCGGCTTGCGAAAGAGGTACGACGCGTCAAGATCCCAGTCGGAGAAGCTTTCTGCTTGGATGAATTCGAAAGCTCACACGGAGAGAGCAGGCAAAGTGGTTCTCCAAGTAAGCAAATAACTTTTGGCAAATTAAATTGTTTTGTTCTCTACCTTGTCAAAGAGCTAAAATCTCTCCTTTTTGTTCTTGATCAGAGTAGCCGACTCCGACACTCAGTCCACATTTTGTCCAGTGTTTACATATACAACACTGCAAATAAATCTTTCCTGCAGAAACGCTTCGCAAACACTTCCTTTCAGTCAAAACTGGAGTTTTCAGGACTTTGTCAAGCTGTTTCACCGTCCAGCGCATTACAATCGCTGCTACTGGGCTCGCCGATGCTGTCGTCCAGGGCAGCCTGGTGATCGGCGGGGGACCTCAGCGCTACATGCAAGCGCTCGTTGCCGACACTGCTGGGTAACTCTATCGATCTAGATCGTTTTGTTTCATCGCCATTCTTTGCCATGCTCGCTAGATCGTTTTCACTCTACTGTTTGAAATTTGCATCTAGTCCTTTGTTTCTTCGATCTATTCTTCTAGTCATTCTTGTTTCGCTTGGCTTTGCTTTTGTTTCATCGCCATTCTTTGTCATAGGATTCGCTAGATCGTTTTCACTCTACTGTTTGAGATTTGTGTCTTTCTTCTTCCTTGTTACTTCGATCTATTCTTCTATTCATTCTTGTTCGAGTGGCCTTGTGTGACTGTGTTTTAGGATTTCTTCTTTGCAACCTCTTCGTTTGAGCTCATTCATCCGCATTCTCACAAGTTCATCATTTTTCTTTAACAGCAGGAGTTCTAGTGCGAGTCGTGACCAAGGCCGCATTGCGTTCCAAATCCGACGGCCTTCGCAGCAGCGCCAACGTCTTCTTCATCACCTGCAGTGATCTGCCTCGTCACCACTCTTCCCATCCAGGAGGAACTTCACCAAATTCCACGCCTCAACGCTGAGTGAGCTTCTCCATCGAGTTTGGAGGCAGAACAAAAGACCGCTGCTGTCCCTCGCTCTCGTCTACCTCGTCACACCTCGATTTTTCCTCACTGAGGACGTCCACTCGGCAGCTCTGGGCGACTGGTTCCCGGTTCTCATAATCGCTTGCCGGGAAGTCGATCACGGCAGTCTACCTCATCGACGACCCGAGAGCCATCGTTGATTTTCTTCCCAGTGTTTTTCGTCTATCTCAAGGACCCAGGATACTTTTCCAATGTCAGCTGACACTGGTTGTTATTGCTATTTAAAATCCCCCCAAATTTGGTGGAAATCATTTAAACTTCATACCGGAACGAGCTAAAAATGGCAGTAGTTATTATTAGGTATTTTGAATTGATTGTAGAGTGAAAATGATGCACAATTCAATCCAAAGTGTCTATAGAAACTTCATCCTTCTCTTGTTGACAAAAATATGTTTTGCTTGATCAAGATGGTAGCATTGGATCATAAATAATTTCAAACAATGAGTGAGGGATGAATTAAATAATGTCCAAAAAGCATGATAACTGAAATGCATCAAAAGTATGATGTTTTTTATTTTGTTGCTCAGAGAGGAAAAGAGAAGAGAAATTC